GCGATGACGTGCTCATATACACTCATTCATAATGATTGGTCGACAATCGTGGTTTGAACAATACGTTTGTCATTGCCCTGGAGTGTCGCTGTTTTTTTTCATGTTGCCCTTCGGACTCGTGGCGTGCTATTTATGTTGTCCAAATTGTGTCACTAATGCTCGTAACGAACTTAAATCGGCAGATGCTCTAAACTGAGTTCCTTGTCGATGACCTGTGATGTCTGCCTTCAGCTGGATTAATTTTGTAGCGAATGACCCTACCACTGTCTTTATGGTCACTTCACTCCTTCTAGGTTGGAAAGCACTCAGGTTCTCGTCCGCTCACCTCCGATCCGTCTCCGCTGTTCACAGGAGATCGAGTCGTTCGTTCGCCGTAACGGTCTGAAGCCCGACTCTCTGAAGGCGCTGAGGAAGGTCCGTCACCTGAGGGACCAGCTGCTGCAGCACAAGCTGGTCGAGACGCGCGAGCGGCAGTTGGTGCGACTCAAACAGTGGGAGGATGATATTAACACAGTGTGCTCGGACTCTGCGAAAATTGTCGTGGAGAACGCCGTGGACCTGGCGCTGCCGCCCGACAACTTTGTCTACAAGAACGACTACGTGGTGAGTGGATCGCGCGCGAGAGACGCTGCTGGTCACTATGCTAGTTGAGGCTCAAACTTTGCGCGCAAAATGAGCTGCAAAATGATCCATAGACGTGTTTTCAAGCCTTGCATTCTAACAACATCCGCTGTTCTTTGTTTATATTTACATATTCCGGTCTTAAACCTTAATAACCCCATCAAAATGTATTTCATCCTCATCTTGTTTCGCTCGTTGATGTTTCATTTTCAAAAGAGTGGATAGGCCTAGAACCAACAATGGCTCTAACTTCCCTTCCCCTTTCTCCTTCGGCAGCCGGGCGAGGGCGTGGTGATTCCCTCCGACCCTGTGATCGGCTGCGACTGCACTGTCTGCTACCCGGGCACCAGCTGCTGCAGTGAGAAGGCCGGAGCACCGCCCGCCTACACCAAGGCCGGCAAACTGAGGCTGCAGGTCGGCCAGCCCATCTACGAGTGTAATAAGGCGTGTCGATGCGAGAGCGACTGCTTCAACCGTGTTGTGCAGCGGGGACGTAAGGTGAGAGAATGGGGAGGGAGAGGAGGGGAAGTGAAGAATAAAGGAGAGGGGCGAAGGTATGCTTAGAGAGCAGCCGGACATCTGTCTACATTTATGTTCATGTCAAGTATTTGCTTACATTCATGGCGATTTTTTTTTTACTTAAATTCTTGCCAATGGCTGCCATTTTATCTCGTCTCATTATAAGCTTGCTGGTGCGGCTCGTCACCCCAAATCATCTCATTATAAGCCTTCCTAGCACTAATATCGGGACGTGTGTCCTGTTGGCAGTCTCCTAGTAACACATCATCCTTTTACTTCCAACCTCCCCGCTGTTTCCACCACCACTGACCCCCCAACCGCTGCCCCGCTCCGCTCCAGGTGAAGCTGTCCATCTTCCGCACGTCCAATGGCTGCGGCTGGGGCGTCAAGGCCCTCGAGTCCATCAAGCGCGGCTCGTTTGTCGCCGAGTATGTTGGCGAGGTAATAACCAACGAGGAAGCCGAGAGACGAGGGGAAAAGTACGGTAAGTGGTCTTGGGGAGGAGGCCAGGGAGAGAGGAAGTGTGGGCTCTCTTGTAAAGCCAAGCAAACTCTATGTATTCTGGGTGTAAAGTCGTTTAAAGGGACTATCCCACCTTTAACATGGGGTTTGAGTTGAGATAGCCAAGTTTGCGGCGAGGTTCAGAAACCACTATCTATCTAGGTTGCAACCCCCGCGGCCTCTTGGTGTTGAAGAAATTCGTTCCCTTCATTTGAAAATGGGCCTTGCGCAAGGCCCTATCTTCAACATGGAGCGACCGTTAGTGTGACGTCACCTCGTTTAGTCATTCTTATTTAAATGGGTTTGTTCGTTGAAAAATCGCTTAGAACTTGGTCTGAACTTTGTTGTGGTGCCTACAGAGTAAAAAGAATCAGCTTTATGACAGTAATGTGGCCTGGGGAAGGAGGTAATTTGGGGCTGTGACGTCACATATTTGAAAGTTTGTGTTTGGAATATGGGAAGCCTAAGATGTTTAATGAAAAATAAATGCCAGAACCGTGTTCCTGGTCATCCAATCTATAAAGTCGGGCACAATTTAACTAATCGAGTCAGCTGTTTGTGCTGTGCATACTGATTGTGCTATTCCTAACGTGTTTACCCTAGCCGTCTTTTAATACTTAGTGTCACCACTCACCATTTCTATTTTCTATCCATCTAACACCGCCGTCCCCCTGGTAACCCTCCCCTCAGACTCCGTGGGCGTCACGTACCTGTTCGACCTCGACTTCAACGACCACATCAACCTGTACACGGTGGACGCGGCCATGTACGGCAACATCTCCCACTTTATCAATCACTCGGTGAATCAGCGGGGAGAACTGGCTGGGCCCGAAACGTGATCTCGTGGTGGGTCTGATCATTGCGACAAGGGCATCGCAGTTATTAGACTTGTGAAGCCATTGGTGTCACTTCTACCGCGGGTCCGAGCCGAATATGATCGTGTGTTGCGACAATCTTGATTCAAACCTCTCATATCTCGGACTTGTGATGGCCTACCTCTCTTATATCTGTCGTTCAGGGTGGTGTGAGCCAAATTTGATACCTGACCTCTGGTGACCAATCTCACATCTAACCTCTGATCCGCAGTGTGAGCCGAATCTGGTGGTGTACGGTATGTGGTCGGACTGCCTGGATCCGAACCTGCCGCGCCTGGCGCTGTTCGCCTGCCGCGATATCCTGAAGGGCGAGCAGCTCTACTTCGATTACAACTCGCCCCTGGGCAGCAACGTGTCCGGCAAGCCGCTGACGCCCACCGCAGGTAAGCAGGACATGGGAGGCTGCAGCCTGGGGTAGCACTTGTTGCGCGGATGTCAGTTGCACTTCCCAAGATGCTTAGGATCGGGCGTTAATTGCGTGGTGACTGGTGAAACAATCTTTTTTTGTTTTGAGCTTAGGTCAGGCTACTGAGCTGAGTTAAGGTCGAGCGGAGGTCAGGCTTACCGCTTAGTGCCACGAACATCTTTCTATATTGTCTTTGTCTCTGATTATAGTCTTTGATTATAAACTGTGTCACTTTCTTTACAGTAAATCGAATGCTTCATATTTATGCCAGACATCTGCCAAATATGTTGTATTCAGCTCTTTTCACAGCTATTGTGATGATCAGTTGTTCCCCATTACAGGCGCGGCCAAGCCGCCCCCGACGGTCTCTGTGGCGCTCTCCCCTCCTCCCGCCGACGGCTCGCGCACTCCGCCGCGGCAGGAGGGCACTCCTGACGCGCCCTCCGAGGCGCTGGTCAGCCCCACCAAGTCACCCCGCCGGCAGATCGGCGGCCACCCGTCCGCCCGCATCACCTGCAAGTGCGGCGCCAAGGCCTGCCGACGGTACCTGTTCTGAGGACGTGTCAATCACCGCCACCGCTGCTATCGCGCACCTCCGCGATGAGGTGGTTTTGTGCGCATGCGCGCGGTTGCACCACTGCCATGAAGTTGTACCTGTGAGGACTACTAAGCCTCTTTCACGTGGTGAAAGTGGTGAAAGTGAAAAGACGTGATCTCGTTCTCGAGATGTGATGCCGAACGAATGACGAATGGTGGACTGATGGCGTTCGCCAGCCATTCAGTCAATACCAGTCAAAGGAAGTGAGGACTGAGGAGTCGGCTGAGGCCGGCTATGTGGATACGATTCCGTCGTACTCATGGTTGGTGACAGCGCCCTCTGGGCGATTTCAAGCTGGACATTGGAGCTGGACAAGCATGCCATTATAGGCATCGCACAATGCATCGCACATGTTCAACGGCGCAAGCATCTGTGTCTCTAGAAGCAATCGCCTGAAACTAATGTTCAATCCGAGTTCAACTCGAGTGTGATGATCGAAAGAGGGGAGAGTTTTGGAGAAGCGTGTGCGTTCGCTCCAGCTCGCCATTCTGAACACTGAGTTCATGCTGAACTGCATTCATTGTTGTGCTGTCGAATGTTGCCGGATGGTAGGGTTTCGAGACCAGGTTTAGCAATGCGAGGTGTGCCAAAATGTCTGATATGCATGCTACAGTGTCGGGATGCTCGCTTTTGCGGACCATTCTACTGCGTGGATGTAGGGCTTGTAAAGATTCCGACTGAGAAAGACGACTATTTTGACTTTGTTTTCATCGAAAGTGTGGCCAAAGATGGCCTGGTGTGTTGCACGTTTTGGAGCATTTTCATCGTTAGATGCGGAAAGTTATTTGTTTAGCTTAATTTCAGCGGCGCATGTGCGACCGGCTGAGCGTTTTACGCGGTTGTCCGCTGTCTCATCTCACAATATCATTGTCATCATCATTTGGTCAACTGGTCGGGGTTGGCGCCCGACCGGACCTCATACCACGCTTTTACTTAGCCAGTGTCACGGATGGCGTCACATTACCAATACATGCGGACCGGAGAAGAGGTGTTTGCTTGGGAGGCATGCAGCGTGGACGATGTTGAATTCCTTGAAGGGTCTTGCAGTATTATGTGTGGTGGCCCATTTTGTTAACAACTTGAGCCGGAGTTGGGTTGTCCACTGCAGCCCTGGCGTTCACGCAAGTGCCCAAAGGGATGTGCTATGCTCTCGAAGTCTGAAATAATGCTACCGTGACCCGAGAAGTTCGACACAATGAGGTACTGCCGTCTTTCATGCTCGACCTAAGTTCTCCGTTATAACGCTATCAGTCTGAAGTCAGTCTCGTGGTCTTTTTCCCCGCTTATCAACTGCCTGAGCCCTCATTCAAACCGTCGCGCGCTCTCGATTCATGTTACATCACTTAAGCGAATGCTACCAAATTTCACCTTGTTTTGTACCACTTCTGAGTTTCGGGTCTTTCATTGTATCATATTCTTCTGTCATCCACTTAGTTCCTCTCCATTCCTTCCCTTTCCTTCATCAATCCAAAAACACATCTCAACGTCGAGGAGGTTTAATTACTGGAATAACACACCGCGCGCGCGCGAGAGGGGTCAGATGCGAGCGGCGCGCAGAGAGCACAGGTGAGGCAGACGACAGACAGACAGACGGACGATCGAGCAACGAGCGGCGCGCGCAGCGGTCATGGGTGGCAGCGGCCGGAGAGACGGCCCAGGCGGACAGGGAGCGAACGAACAGCGGACAGCGGACAGCTCAGACGACGGACAGCGGCGGGCACCAGTCGGGCCGGCCAACAACCTCGGCGCTACCGGCTTTTATTACAAAAATGGCTCTCGGGCGCCAGTGGCGCGCGTTCTCGCGCGGCGTCCCTGGCTCGTCCAACAACTCAACAGCTGCCCCGTGTGACGTCACACGCGCCCACCCACCCTGGTGGTGACGTCACCACCACACACACACATACACACACCGCCGCGCGTCCTGACAACAGCGACACACACCATACGACCAGCAATACAAATCCAATACAAACGGCGTCGCGCCGGCCGCCGGCGACCTCTACGAGTAAAAAATCCAGACACAAACAGCTACAACCAACTCTAAAGGAGACAGCTATGTATATTTATGCACAGGGTTTAGAGAGAGAACAAGGGTACTGGAGAGCGGGAGCCGCGTCCGCTCCCGAGCTCGCTAGCCAAAAGGCACCGAGATGGTACAAAAATAGCAGGTTTGGGAGTTGATATGTTCACGCCCGGCCGCCGGGGCGACGCGCGCGCCGCCCAGCGGCCGGGCGGCCAACTATCCGAGCGGGCGGGTGAAGATGTTGTTTGTGCTGGTTTTAGAGGATTGTCACAGCCCAAACCAATTTGACGGGCGGGCCTTAAAGCTGTCACAATACTGTTGGCGGGTGCGTCGCGGCCGCCACGCCCCCGTTGTGATTTGTTCCCTTGTAGTTCCCTGGCGGGGCGGCGCGCGGAGCGACCGGCGGCCTTCCGCCGGCGCCGCGCGCGCGCACCTTCGCCGACACCCACACACCAATAAATTAACAACACAATGCCTTCACAAATTTTGTTCGCTGTTACAGGAATGGTACACTACACGTCTTCTTAACGTTGTCTCCTCTGAACTCAGTGGCGCGCGCGTCTGTGCGCCAGCGCCGCGGGCCGGCCGCGGCCGCAGTCTGGTCCGTGGCGGCGCGGCCGGCCCGCTCGGCAGCCGCGCTCGGCGGCCGTCCTTCTGGTGACGGGTCCACAGCTACAATACCGGCCGGCACCAGCCCACACCGGCGGCGCGGCCAGCCGAACGCAACTATACACTATCTAATGTAAGCAAATGCAAAAATAGTCTCCGCGGCGGCGGACGTCTCTGAAGCGCGGAGCTTCCGCGGCCGGCCGCCAGTGGCGCCACCGTCGCGCCGTTGTGACACACGCTCTGTCGTTGGCCGTCAGTCACCGTGGCGCGGCCTAGATCGTTGACTTTGAGAAGGAGACCCTGAGGTGATTAGCGTCACTGAGCTGGTAGTTGTGCATTTTCTGCGGAAACACAAAACAAAAATAATGTCAACAATCACGGAAAATACCGAAAAACCATTACACTCAATGATCAAGAAAGATCAAACGCCCGACTGATCCTACCATACGCTCGGAAATGAAGATCAAAAGGCTTAAACATTGCCAGCACATCAAACAAGCGACACTTTTTATCGAGCGATATTAGGCGAGCTGCTAGGGGACGACAACACATCTCCTGACGCCGACATCCCCGCATCAAAGGCTTAGCATAATGAATGCGCCAACTCCCGTCCGACGTACGACACACCGCCCGATCCAATTAAAAGTTGCTAATTAAAATTGGCACTCGGGACGGACCATTTTTCGCCAGCGCCGCGTCGGCCGACCGGCCCGGGAGCCTCGTCCAGACGGCAGAGTCCGAGCAGTTTCCAATCAGTTTCCCCGTCCCTGCCCGTCTGTGCGGCTCGCCCTGACTGCCCATCGCTGTCAGCTCCGCAGGAATCATTTCCCGGCGGCCGGGCGGCCATTCAGCCGACCGCGCCTCACTGAAAGCTCGCCGCAGCCCTCTTTTCACCAGACATATTGGCAAACATTCAAATTCCGCTCAATTCGTCGGCAAAAGAGGCCGCGAGGAGAGTTGAAAGCGACGCCCCACATGAGCATCTATCTGAGGCGACTGAAAGGACGCTGCCGCGCCGTCATTCGGAGCAGACGCTCCGAGAAGGAGATCGTTAGAAGCGGAGATCCCGCGACGATTAGCGCCACAGACTTAGTGTGAGAGCGTGTCGAGCCGACGCGCCGGGCCAGGAGAATGGAGCCATAAACAAAGCTGTTATTACCACAGTTAGCAGAGAAGAATGTGCGGGTTTATCAAAGACAGATGAAGTGGATTTCCGAAACAGAACGATGGAAATGAAATGGAATAGAGAAATGGCGTGGCAAAGATGAAGTGTTTGGGGCACTCGGAAAAACATGAAGCTTAGAAAGTTGTTTGCGACGTATGGCTATGACGAACAAGCTGATCTTGCCAGAAAAAGAATGTCATAACAAACCGCGCAAGATAACCTCACACAGACCAATAAATTAGTATTACCTGATAGAGTCGAGTTTAAGGGTTATGTGAAAAACGCATCAAAGATGAGATGGTCAAAGATGGTCACGTGACCTAAGGTCAACTTTTGACCTTTCGACCTTTCGAGGTCAACATACATATGTTTCGATGCGGATCGACAGGAGGATCACGATGGTGATATTGGTTTGTTCCTAGCTGGGATACCTTGAAAATTATTCGAGAAAAACTTCATATATATGTAGTGCCGCAATTTTGACTTCCTTTTTGCTCCTGTGACGTCATCTTTGACCTGACCTGAAAATGACCTCAGTAAAAATTATAGACCTTATCCGTTTGTACCCTGCAACGTTTACCGCTTGTCGCTATCTTGCTTTATTCTCGAGATCTCGCTGTCGCTCCCGCTCGTAATAATGGACAGGTCATAAAAATGACCTGACCTGAGGTCAACGCAGGGCGATATCCACTTTTTTATTTTCGCATATGAATGACAATTGATAAGGCTTTAATCTTCATCAGACAAAATTGCAACTTTCAGTGGGGAAAATATCAAGGTCACTCTTCGAAAAATAGGTCAAAAGGTCACGTGATCAAAATTTTCAAAAATTGAAAATCCGAGATAGCCAAAATGTTTGTTGGCTGATTGTGAGTTGAACTAGATAAAGTTTTTAACGTAGAAAACCAATAGTTTTTTAGTTATAGGCCGCCAAACATAGGGCTGCAGCGCGACCTCCAGGAATTGCCTGAGGCTATATCTCGGAAATCGTTGTTCGAAGAAAAAAATCCTTGTCACAGCTGGCTTCTCCGCCCATCACAACCCATTAGAACAATTTTGAGCAAAAAATAAAATATGAGGGTGCAGGGCACTTGTCGATTTGTCGTGGAACGCCCCAGATGATGAGGAAAGCAGGCCAGCACCGATAAGTAACGAAGACCGAACCACACCACTTGAATACTGAGTTCACGATCCCCACGAGAACTTACAATTCACCGGAGGATTTTAAATAGGATTTACAATCCCCACGCTCTCTATGCTAGCAGTGAGCCGCCAAAGAGTACCACCCAGCTCCCGCCGGTCCGCTGGTCCGCGGCTGTACTCACAATGAGAGCCATGACGGCATCCTCGACGTTGCTCAGCTGCACGAGCGCCATCCGGTGGTCCCGCCGCTGGCCGTTGTCGCCCTCAATGGCGTCACGCTTCCTGCGGGGCACCAGAGGTCGGCGGGGGTCAAAGAGAGTCACCAGGGGTCGACAGAGGTCACAGAGGATCAACAGAGATCGGCAGGGGTCACAACATGTCACCAGAGGTCGGCAGGGGTCAGTTAGGTCAGAGCAGGGTCAGCAGAGGTTATCAAAGGTCATAGGTCACATAGGGTCACCAGACGTCGGCAGGGGTCGGTCATGAGTCATCAGAAGACACAATTGGTCACCAGGCTACCCTGAGGCGCTTTAAGAAATTCAGCATTTTCCAGTACTTCATAATACCATACCATCTCATTCATTCAGTACGACATCCCATAATGACACTGTTACCTCTAACCTTATGCCGAGCACCTCTTCGTAAATGTTCGTAAATAAACCTAAATGTTCTGAACGCTTCACCGGTATCAAGCGCCACCTCAATTCCAGCTCCCCCCCCCCCGCCCCACCCACGTCGCATCCGGCTCCAGGCGTATGTACAAAGCCCGCTCGGCTGACCCCACTGACCCCTCCCCAGGGAGGTGAAGGGACCCCTGACCTTTACTGCCCCGCACCGCGAGCCACTCGCAATCAGCGACCCCGTTCGCCGGCTACAGAGGGCGGCCAAATGTGGCGCTCGGCGGCGGCGAGGGGGGGGGGGTGCTGGGAGGGCAGACTGCACGGCGCCCGGCCGGAGGCGGTGACTGTTGTGGTGAAAATCGTGTGAGTAAGGAGCCCTAGGCACTGGCTTAAGTTTGCGTCCTTTTGGAACAGCATTGAGGATATCACTTCTAGCAGGCTTAAAATATTTACTGCTTTAGTTTCATAGAGGACATTGCTTAAAATCTATCAAATTGCTTGTTTTGAATTATCAAAAAGTCAGCAAACGCTAATCTTATTTTCATCGTTAGTAGTTAGTAGACTCAGTGGCATGCTGACGGCACTCAGGCCCGACTGGAATCGGCATTCCTCATTGACAGGCAGTCGACGTGACTCCAGACAGGGGTGTGGGTGTGGGGAATGTCAATGAAAGAATGTCAGCTAACCACATGAAAGGCTCAACAGCTGACAAAGGACTGAATATAGAATGTGTCCCCTATTGTGCCTGGCTGTTAGTGTCTTTATCTGTCCCACCTCTCGTAGCCTCTACCCTCTACCCTTCCCGCCCTTCCATTCTCTTTCCTTCCTTCCTATACCCGCCACTTACGGGAAGAACTTGAAGTTTTTGACGTCGAAGCCGGCCACCTCGAAGGCCTGCCGGATATCCTGTTCGGTGACGTGCGGCGGGATGTTGGAGAGGTGCAGCGTCGCCGACGGCGGGTAGATGTTCTGGTAGTTCTTGCTGCCCGGCTTCTTGAAGCGGTGCAGCGGAGAGTTGGTGAAGTCCTTGGTGAGGCCGGCGTCCGGCTGACCCTCCTTGGGCATCTGCACCACCTGGTGTTTGCTGGGCATCACCCGGATCTGGCGGCCCCACACCTTCACCTTGTCCAGATGGCTGAGTGCTGCGGGCGGACACGGTGCGTACAGGTCAGACCACTTCCGGAAAGTAATTTTTAGTTTGCAGATAAACTCACTTCGTAGGCATTCAGTTTTGCTTACGAATCATTGCCACACGGTATTACTCGATTTAAATCGCAGCAAACTTATCTGAATATGAAAGAACATTTTCATCGCCTAAAGATATCACTACAACATGCTATCAGGGGCCTTCCGGGATCAACAGACCACTGTGTCCCCTTGTGGCGATGTCGGCGGTCGGCACGCTTCCCGGTCATACTCACCGAGATTGGCCTGGTGCGGCTCGGCCATTTGTACCAGGGCGTTGTCCTTCTTGTTGAAGAGGATCTTCACGCGAGTTACGTCACCGTAAACGCCTGAGGGTCGCGCCAGGTTAGGTCAAACTGTGTTATCAGCCATCATAGCATTATATCAGGAAATTGTAACATAGCACAAACATACAAAACGTCACTATCAACAACAAACTACAGAAAAAGTCGCTAACGTAACGCTAAACTGACCATAAATCAACGACCGAAGTTAGAAAATTGTCAAAACAACTTGTCAAAAATTTCTAGACGTTAAAGTTTAACAAAAGATCGCTAGTATGACGTCACACCATGGCGCTGCGGTGCCAGAGCCGGGCGGGCCGAGTGATAGACTGAACAAAGGCTGAGCGCGCGGCCAGAGAACAAAACACCACAGAGCTGACAGCCCCAGGCGATAGTGACGTCACAGCGTGCCAGCCCAGTGTGAGTGTGACGTCATGACCAGCGAGCGGCCGGGCCGCCGCAGCGCTGTTCGCCAGCGAGCACCACACCAAATGAACAGAATAGGGGCTCCCCATGAAGCAACATTACATTATGAGCACATAGCCGTAATTGCTCCAGTGCCGGGGCAATGGCATTATGAAATGCACCCCATCGGCTTAATGAGCAATCTTTTGTATGCTGCTAAGCCTTATTTAAATTGCCATGTCTGTCTAAAAAGGCCACAGGGGGGATGCTATCACCCAATTTAGCAGGATTGACTCGTACGGTAACTCATCACCTTCAAGGAATGGCGCAGTTGACGTGCCCATATGGCGGCAGGCACCGCCCAGTTCCGTCGATAAATTTGCTCAAACTGACGACGGCTTGTGTTTGGCTGACAGTTACTGGCCACACCAGGGCCAGGCATTGCCATTAGAAAACCGCACTGTGGCCGAGCGTGAAACAGACTATTTTTGGCCGCAGAAGTCGGGACTTCAATCCGCTGCACGGTTAGACACATTCGTGGAACCAAATTTGAACGGAATTAGGTTTAAACGTCTGTCACAGCGACGTTGGCGAACTGGAAACTTTTATAGGGCGTTAGCTTTATCGTGATTTACTAGCCATGCAAACAACTGGAAATTGACTAGCGATGTGATCGCTAAAGTTTGGCACATCAGTCAATCTTTATTGCTGAATCAATTCAATCAGCCCAGCTTTAGCCTACAAAGGGGAGAACGGCACGCCCCAAACAACAGACACTCCCAGCAGGTGTGGTGCACACTGGCGAACAGCCCACCGCGCGCCGCTGTGCCGTCCGCGTCGGACACACTCCGGACACAGTCGCGGACACACCGTGTCGTGTCCGGAGCGGACAGCGGCGCGCGGCGTCGGCGACCCCCCGGAGCGCCGGCGGACAATACCGGGCGGCGGCGTACGCGAGCAGAGTAAGAAACGCAACATACCGAAGAGAGTGAAGAGAGCTTCAGGAGAGGCCATCTACAGGCGAACAGACGGAGGGCGCGGCAGGCAACAGAGAAAAAAGACCGGTTAGAACAAGCCCCATGGATGACGCCTCCTCAGTCAACGGGCCTACACTGTCACACCAGCTCTAGAGAACTCTGCTAGGGCCAAACAGACTACACAAACAACTCGCTCTCAGTCTAAGCTAGCTAGTCAGATACGCTACTGTAACGTTCGTACCGCGCTGGAAGCGGCACACAATAGATTCTCAGCAAAATCAAGACACTATCAATGATTGATGACACTGGGAAAGCCAAGCCCGGCAGAGCACGAGAAAATGACACACTCCGGCTCGGTGAATTCAATCATCTGACATGAGTGACCAATCAGCACCGCAATCAGAGCACACTGGGGTACGCGTGGGGAGGGACGGGGTGGCAGAGGGAGGGAGGGTGTGGAGAGAGGGGAGAGAGGGACAGAGGGAGGAGGGACGGTCACCCAACACAGCAGAGAACACCCGGCCAAGCACAGCATCCCAACAGACCAAGAGCGACTGTACAGCACGTATGGCGGAACCGTCTTCCGCCCGCCGCCCACCGCTTCACAGCCCTTCGGGCTGTCGACCGTCCTTATGTACAGGTCTGGGAGCTAGCAAGGACACACTGTGAACCACAGCAGCCGACTGGGTGTCCTGTGGGCTGTGGGATCACAGTCCCACATCACCAGCTGGTGGCTGTAGACGTGGGACGGTGAACAGCACACGACAGGCGGTGGGGCGGCGGACACGGGCGGTGGGGCGGCGGACACGGGCGGTGGGGCGGTGGACACGGGCGGTAGACAGCGGGGCGGTGGGCGAAGAGTGGAGAGTGGAAGGCACATGACACATATGGGTGGATAACAGTTGACGCAGGTTGACCATGGTCGACAAGACGCAGCGGGAGGGGGAGCGGTAGATCCTCCAGAACCGGTAGGACCAGAGGAAGACTGGAGACGGTATGAAACACTGCAAGGACAGGCGAGCGACCCAACACACGCCCGGCGCGGTTCGTACCTCCTCATCCAGGTTGGAGACGAGCAGCACCGTTCCGCCGGTGAGCGGGTTACCCTGCAGACGGCCCATGCCGATACCGGCTCCGCTCAGGTTTCCGGGCATCAGACCGCCGAATGGTACTGTTGAACAGACGCGGGGACAGAGTTAAGGTCAAACGTCCGTCACAGCGACGCTAGACAATGAGCAGAGACACACACCTTAGGTGACGTATATACGGTCAGCAAACCGACCCAGTTCTCACGCCGCGCAAAACGTACACACCCTGTGATAAACCCAGTATGACAGCGCATCATCATAAAACAACGGCGACCTATAAACGTCACCACTATCCCCGCCCCTCCCGATCCGTCAACTCGAGCCGCGATTCCGCGTCGAACCGCCGCGCCCCCGTCTCTCCCGGCGCCGGATCAGCGCTCTGTAATGGTTCTGTCTGCCGGTTAGCCGGCGGACGGAGCCGGGGCGTCTGACGGCGCCGCGCCGAGACGTGCAATTAGATCCGCGGCCCAACTGGTGGCAGGTGTACGTATTGGAGTTTCGCCGAACCAGGCGAACCGAGAGATCGGTCGTGTAATTGAATACGAGTCGGCTTCTAGAATCGACACCAAGAATCTCATCGGAACTGGGCCGCAGTATTTCAAAGCTGCAAGCGGCATTAATGAAATCTAAGTGGGTTCGTGGCAATTTCATTAGCATAACACTAAAATGTAAAGGCTCAAATGTTTAAAGCATATAAAACATCGGTTTCTAAAGAAATCTTTGCAATTTTTAATCTACATAAACCATAACAGTTTAACAAATTGCTACAACCGTTCAATGAGCTATACAGCTGCAACAACAATCTCCTAAACAGACCTCCCTGCAAGTGTCAGGCACACTCCACTTACCTCCGCCCATGCCTCCTCCCATTCCGCCGCCCATTCCGGGCATTCCTCCCATTCCGCCCATGCCCGCGAAGCCGGCCAGCGACGGTGTCAGGCCGTGCAGGCCGAATGGCGACAGCATGCCGGGAGACCCGCCTGTCAAGACGGTAGACACGGGGAGGTGATGGCCCGCCGGCGACTGTCATAGGGTCACCAGGGGTAACCAGAGGGGAGTGGCAGGGGAGCTGAGGGGGCAGGGGACAGCCGGCAGCCAACGCGTAAGGGGGGGGGGGGCGATTGACTGATAAAGGGTCGAGCCGGTAGCTGTGACCAAGACTACTAAACATGGCTAACGATATGGGTGATATGGCTAGCAAGCGCCGTTAGGTGGTGCGCCCGGTAGTAAGAAGTTTACTGGGTTCTAGGGTAAAAGTTTACCCTAAGCTAGCGAGGAGTGAAATCTCAAGCCAAGGTTTAATTGATGTGAGAGGAATAGACTATTGATGTTGTTCGAAAAACAAATCTTTGTGCGCATGAGCGAAACCTACAGGAAACCGGCAATGTCTTCGAGAGGAAAAGAAACTAGTGAAGCAAGCAACATTGCACATACAAATAAGAGACCGATCAGAAGCTTAGGGCTGCAGTATTTCTTTTTAAGCAACTTGAAACTAGAATAATTTGTCGTAGTTGGGATACATCCGTATCAGCTACCAGTAGAGGACAAAGGAACGAGCCCCAGTTATTCAAATGAACAGAACGTCATGAATATTCAGCTTAGTCGGCTGAACTCATACTTGAAACGAGATAAGAAGACTCTTAGAACTTCAAACCAGCCGGGCACCAAATCTCACGGCTATCATCATACCATTTTCCAACCAGTTTAACACATTATTCACTGCAATGCATACAACCACAATGGCAGCTGACACTTCCAATACAGTTGTTAAAACGCAATGTTTAGCGCGAATGAGTCATGAACCAATGAAATACCAGGCAGTTAGTGCAAGTTAGACCGGCCAGCAGTGCCTAGTACACACAGACACGCACAGTCACAAACCCATAGTGCCAATCACTCAGTGCACACTGCACGCACACGCCCCACATACGGCAGTGATTAGTGAAAGGCGGCACAAGAAAGCCGGGGACAGTCCTGAAATACAGAGGTCAGTGCACCCAGGCCAGGCGGTGAGCTACCCGTGTGAAAAGTGGGCACACAAGAAGACAGAAAGCGCACAGGGGGAGTGCATGCAAGGATATGGGGAGGAACACGCTATTTATTCACATTGTTGATAAACGTATGACATTATGTCCAATAGATGTTATTTCGTTGAGACAATTAAATACTTTACAGGGGCGATGAAAGACCACTGCTTAGCAGGGCCTTACGACTATTGGGTTTATGATTTCTGTCTACATATTACAGTAGCTTATTATGCGTTTTATTAGCAACCGCAATAGCCCAGTTTAGCATCAACCATGTGGCAGCACACAAAGCTATGGCAGTTACGCAAGCAGCGCCTCAACACCAACCAACCTACACTTCACGCTCTGTGAGAAGACAGGAAACAGAAGAGAGCCAGACACTGGGGCAGAAACGGTCGGAACTTACTGCGCCCGCTGGTCGGTTGGTCCAGGACCGGAGCGAGGATCGGGCAGGGCTCCCGCCCCGTCCACCAGCGAACGGCGGCGGGCGGCGGCGGCGGCCGGCCGCAGCCCGGGCCGAGCCTGAACGAGCGGCCGGTCGGCCCGGGCAGCGGCCGCCCGCCGCCCCCGCCCGCCGCCGCCCCGCAGCGCCAGCAGCCCCGACACCTACCTCCCAGCATAAAGCCAGCCGAATCGAGCGTGGGGTCACCTGTGGGCAGGCTGGGATTGGTGTAGTCGCGCGATTTGTCGTTGTTGTACTTGACGTTGAGGCTGGTGAGTTTAGAGTACTCGATGCGTAGGGTGCAGCACGAGTTGTAGATGTTCTGGCCGTCCAGTTGCTGACGGAAGAACAGACACATGACGTGAGTGACCGGTCGACAGTGGATTTACTAATCTCTAGGGATTTATGACAGGGAAGAAATGGTCACACCTAAACACAGCAGAACCATTGGCGTGTTGTACAGCGAAGTAACCAAAAAGACCTTTCGGTCACGAAGTCATCAAGCACCTCGGTCAACAGCGCAAGTAGGTACGCCGTAGCTTTAGCTCATTTTCTAAGGATATAGCATCGGCACAAACATCAAGCTTGTTATTCATACAGCCCACATTCTTCCGCACAATTCCTCCGCCTAAGCGCCGCCTCAAATCACAAACCCATCACGGGTAATACGTACCCAGCGAGGCCCCTCCTGTCTGAATCCACCACCCGCTATATAAATTACCCAAACCCTGTAATCATCTTCAGTCCGCCTGAGGTGTTTTTACGCCACCACACACACACACACCCTGCCCAGCACAAACATAGCCATCACACACATCCCTCAAACACTGCGCTGCGTGCTCAAATATGTAGTCCCTGCACACCCGTTCGAAATCAAACCAGCCACAGACCAATCGAGCCGTTCCAGCAAACCGATAAACAGCTGGCACCGCCGCCGGTGGTTTGCGATCGCCGCGCAACAGGACAAACAGTGGCGCGACCGATACGAAACCAGCGCAGCTTGTGGCTCCAGCGCCGCGGGCTACCACTCATAATAACACCTGGCGGACTAATATAGAGAAATTTGGAAAAATTGGACAGAACACAAAAAAGCTTTTACAGCAGGATGCATGCATATTCAGTGCCTACACTGTGTTTTATGAACAAAGTAACACAGCAAGGGATATATTCCCCAGGGATATTTCCATCACAAGATCATAAGCTCCCGGTGAATACCTAACGCACGTCAGGGCCCTCAGCAGGTCCTACAGCCCTCCCTGGGGAGCGCACTCCACACCGCGAGCGTGTGTCGGCTGCCGCCGCCAAAGCCGCTGGAACACCATCGACCGGGGAGCACTAGAGGCGGCCGCATTTAAAGGGACCATCCCACCTTAACATTAGTTTTGAGTTGAGATAGCCAAGTTTGCGGCCAGGCTCAGAAACCACCATTTATCCTGGTCGCAAACCCCGCAGCTTTATGGTGTTCAAGAAATTTCTTCCCTTTACTTGCAGGGTGGGACCAGCTTAGTCCCTATCTCTTAACCATTAGCGGTTTTTTGATGACGTCAGCAGTCATTTCAACGCCCGCCATTCCTTGAACCCGAAATTTGCTGACCTTGAGCTCCCTTCTTTATCAACGTGAAATCCGTCGTCGGCGCTGATAGTATTCTATGACCGTGGGCGCTGAGAAAGCCTGTTGCTTTTCATTTTAATTTGAATATTAGAAGATACCCACCACTGGAACTTGGACTGATATTATACCCAAGGCCATATATATTATACCAAGGCCGAAGATGATCAAGCTGCCTGCTATATCTGGAGCTTGGTGTTGAACTTAAACATGGAATAAAAAACAAAATATCAAAGCAAACTGGATATGGTACTGCAAGTTAAAGTCCAAAGAAATTTGAAGAGCTGACAATTGACATTAATTCTTTTCCTGCAAGGCTTTCATATGGAGATCACACCATGGAGAAATATTTTTGATGTTAACAGTTGAAAGGGGATTGATCTTCCAGTTTTGACGAAAGACGCTGCTGACTGTCTTTGGAAAAGGATGTCGGCATGAGGTGCAATTGTGCTTGTGAAGTGGTTATAACTGGTCTTTTCACAGTATTAAATTAAATGTGTCATTGCAGCCAAGTGTGTTATCATGTAAGGTAAAATCAAAACTACAATGTTGGTTTTACGAGCATTGAGAAGGCTGGTAGGTAACATCTGCCTGTGCTCATAAATCATGCTGCCAAAGTATTCTAAATTAATTTTGTCATACACTTTTGTTGTCCAGAATGGTTGCACTATTGTTTGGTATCATATTATTCCATGTAAATATGGTAGTGTAAAGTCCGACCAACATGTTACCAGATTTGAAGCTGTTACGTTACCTAAGTACCTGTTTTTTACTGGCGTGGTGAATGTCACCTGGATTTTGTTTTGAGGTGCAGACCTAGTAACTCTGACTACATGGGTTTGAAGCTATTATCTATTCTGTTTTTACTGGCCTGGTGAAGGTGAATGGCGACTGATGTTGTCTGTGGATGGCACTGAAACAAATTTTGAGTGTCATGTACAGTGTTTTATTTTAATACAATGCTGAGGGCTGAAAGTTGTCTTGTTTAGGGTGGTGAAAGTTCAGGATATGCCAGCCACCATGGTGGGTCAGAGTTAATGTGTTGCAGTCAGTTCGGCTTCGGCAAGCACACGGATGGGCATACGCATCAAGACCTGCTCTGCCATACTTTCAGCCAATTTTACCTAGGTAAGTCTTTTCTTTTTTTTCTGCCAAAAGCTATGACATTGTGAATTTCAGTGCTGTGGCCTGTGTGTAGCTTTCAGGAAAGCAATTCTAAATAAAGCTCTGATAAAGTGCAAAATCAGCAATGCAGCCCTCTAATACATTTTCTACAACATCTTACTTGTTCCTTGCATGGAGAGAAAAATGCAATGTTATGAATTCGTTTATTCACATAATTTGACAAGCATGCAGTTACCTGCTACTATCACTGCAGAAAACATCAGTTGATCAAACACAAGACACAACAGAAGTTTACAACATAGGGCTGCCGAGCCTGCTTCCTCCCACCACAGTTGATGCCATTTCCTAGCCTGGCTTGATGTGAGCACTGAATAGCTGCTTTGTCTAATTACAGCTCACTACCATTCAACTTAAACTGCTCTCTTTAAAGTAAGAGTGAGAGCGTTCAGTGTTCATAGCAGCTCAACTGACGACAGACAACAAACATCTTGACAAACCAACCAGTTTTTGATTTGGCTAATGATTTATGTGCTTGTTGTATCATGGCCAAACTACTTTAACAGCAATAATCCCTGTTTCATCTTGATCTTGCTTTTATTTCCATTTGAACTCAGATCTTGAAACAATCATCTGAAGTGATATCAGATACTGGCGCCTTCTGTTTCTCTTGAAAGCAATTTAAAACAACAATGATAAACTAAGGCAGGAGATGTGAGCTGTGGCAGTAGATTTTTGATTCAACATATGTCAACCTTATATTGCTTGAGACCTCTGTGACAGACAAACTAATATTTATAGTTTTTTGATAGTTTGGATTCTTGGCTTGATTTAGCAGATCAGCTGCGAACCTTGACTTTGAAATCACATAAATGTCATGGTACCCGAACGAATTCTCGCATGACATTTCTTCGTAGCACAATTTTTCGTCCGCATTTCTTCGTCTACAAATCTTCGTCGGTGCATTTATTTGTCCCTCAATGCTTACTCTTGCATATATTTGCGTTGAAGAAGAAATGCGAGCCGATTTTCATATACCCTGATGCGAGACAAAGTAATGCGATACGAATAAATGCCCTGACGAAGATTTGCAGACGAAGAATTGCGATACGAAGAAATGCCATAAGAAGAATTGTCCTGGAATCCTTTATTGGTCATCATATATTGACCTTGATAAGATAAACGCATCATTCGCGCAATATTTGTCGCACTTTGATACCAAACTATTGCTTCCAAATGCCGACGTAAAGAAAACCTTTATGTGACGTCACAGAAACAGCGGAGTTCCCAAAAAGTAAACAAAAATAAAAGTCTTATATCTCGAAAACGGGTGAATATTTTCCGGTAAAATTTGGTAGATGTTCATTTTCGCTCTTTGTGATTCACGCTACATCACTTTTATGCCAATTCATTAACTTTTTTGAAGGTGGGAGGGTCCCTTTAATCGCACTACTCGTCCGCAGCTGAGACACCAACATGGTCGGTGAAGGGTATGAGGGATAATAATCGGTCCGTCTCGGGACAGACTATCCAGTCCTTACATTTCCTGGAGTAGTCATGCTTCGCAGTCCCATTTTCTTCCTATGGCGCTGCATCCAATCACATCACACGCCGCATCGCAATCTCTTAGCGAACCGCGAACTGCCAATAGAACACCTCGCTCGCACATTTGAGGCTCGTAGATATCATTCAAGTCAGCGGCGAACGCAGACACCACACTTCCACGGCAGCCACAGCTGCTAGCTTAGCACCTCACATCACAATGATGACAGTAACGGCGTGACTGAGCGGTTAGGCAGTCGCTCAGGCGGCGCTGATAGCGCAGACCGACGGCGGTCACTGGAGAACCGATCGGTTGTGGCAATGAATGAGGTGCAGGAGAAGGCAAAAAGTACTTTACCGGATCCTCAGGGCGGCCACTGAGTTTTAATGCGTGCCAACTATGCCAACTACGATCATACGCTACATGCAGGCTGGATAGGATCACAACGCTGCCAGCTTAGGATGGAGTGTGGGAGTTAAATTTAGCACGAACATAGCGCGGGACGCTGTTGTTTTGGGTTGGAAGCAACGTTTTTCTCTTTCCTCTTACACAACAGGACCAGTTAGTTTACGAGCACAGGTGTAAGAACCTCGGCAGTCGCCACCTCGTACAAAGGGACGGCCTGACCAACGAATGGGGCACAGGTGGTCCGTCAAATCACTGCAGGCTAGCTGGCTGTTTCAGAGAACAAAATAATAGTAATAACAACGACGCGTGACAATCGTCAGTCACTCGTAGTCAGTCACAATAGTTCCTAAAATGACAGGTCATGTCGTTGGCAATATCGGTAGCATGGATGTTTTTACGAGCACAAGTTGGAACCCGCAAAAAAATAAAAACGACCGGCTTGCAGACAAAGGATAGATCAGGGTCGCACACCGCCAGAAAGAAAGAGTCGGACAGACAGACAGACACAACAAGTGGCATCAAGCTACTCGATACAGACAAAGGCTAGGTCTGGGTCGCAGACAGCCAGACAGAGACAGGCACAGCCGTCGACGTCACCCGACAAAGACAGAGCTAGAGCCTGGGCAGGTCGGCGGCAGCCGCCCCGTATCCTGATGGCCTCATCAGCGACCCAATCCGGCAAACGGACCCACCCGATCTCCTCAAATCAGCCGCGTCGCCCCGAGTGACCCGGCCCGTCCAAAGTGGCCCCAGAGTGGCACCCATTGCCGACGGATGGAAGGCGGACGGAGACCCGTGTCGGCCGGCCATCGATCCCATCGTCCCCGGCCGCCGCCGCAGCTAGTTTATCAAACGGCAAACGTCGCCAAAGGTCAGGAGAGGCGGCACACGCGGCCGGTGCGGGCAAATGTCGGCCGGCAGTGGGTGAGAGGTGAGGTGCGGCGTCTCACCACTCACCAGTTTGGCAGCCTGCGCGGTCACCACGTCCGGGTACTGGATCAGCGCCTGGAACGAGCTGTTCTTGGTGAAGGTGACGATCTTCAGCACCTTACCGACGCGGGAGAAAATCTGAAATGAAAGAACAACGCGTCAGTCATCTGGATAAAAAAGACGCACATTTAAAAGGAGGGTACACGTAAGCAATGGTACACGCACGGCGAATGGTCTCAAAATATATGCCCTTCCTTCTTTCCACTTCATCCAGATATCTGTGTAACTGTAGACCATCGCCACACACTACCGACGACACCTGAATAGTCCCACCATATAGCACCACCGTGATTGTTGCAACTCCTGTCAATATTTACACAATAACCGTGCCATCACCGCCACTACGTCCACTCCGATGCCCCGCTGGTATCCGTAGGCATTACGCACAGCACGGGCCCAATGCTACACAACCATATTGATAGCCCGCGGCGGCGGCCGACAATTTATTGCGTTGCTTTATGGGCCCAGGCCGTTATGGCTCTATGGATTACGTGAATCCAATTCGGCGGCCCACCCAGTGACGATTTACTGCCGATTCTGTTCTGACGCAGCCATCAAACAATTATACGCTGGCGCTGAACAGTGTGAGGCCGCCTTAATCAGCACGGTCCACACCGGGAGTCACGGAAACGATAGTCCATGGACATGTGACTGAACAGGCAGGAGGCATCTGGGATGTGCCAGTGAATAACGGGCCGATCTCGCTAAACAGACATCAGGGAGTGATGCAGCATCTGGGCGATACAAACCACTGACGGCCATCAGGCCAGTCATGATCGACTGATAACATCAGTCGAAACATCGCCGATGGTATGCGACACTAGGCATTATCTTCGCCGCACAGATGCCTTGATGCGCGATGAGAGCTCAATCGATGCCAACGCCACTTCTCGGGAAATTTCGTAAGCACAGCTTTTAGCTGAGGCCGCCAGTATTGAGCCGGACAACCCATGTTTGGTTGGTTCAGGGTGCGCTAGAAGGATAGAAGTGGTCTGAACGCATCCGTCTAGATACCTACTGGGAAAATGTATGGTGATTTTATATAAATATATTACATTTTAACTGCAATGCACGACAGAAGGCAAGTGGATCACAAGACACAAACATCAAGACAGTCGACAGACAGCCTTATTCGACAGGGACATCCCCAAATTCGAAGGTAAGAACTGCTGAGCGCTATCTGTGCCAACATACCACCAACTTCTTGCTAAGCCGTTCTTATCTGGGCAAACCAGGCGCAGCAATGCGACTCAAACTAACAAGTTACCTCTGCAACACTGACTGTCTCTATCAGACTACAGCAGGGACCAGCTAGAGGCTCTGGGAACACCTGAGGCCTTCAGGGGTCAATAGAGGTCACTTGGACCGCATTCTCTGACAGTGGCGTGTGGAACTTCAATACACCGAAATAGGCTCTGTGCAGTTCAATGGTGATATGGGATCCACTAGCACACAACAAGTAGTATTGCTATACCAGTAGCGGCAGCAGCGGGGTCCCCCGCAGTGGTAGTGAGTGAGGGCGGCAGAGGCAGCGGGCACCTGATCTAATTAGGGCTCCCCTACCCCTCCTCTGGGGACGCGCAGGGCTCTGCGGTGCGCCGCGGCCCCGGCCACTCGACCCGACATAAACCGCGCTACGACCCGTCCAGGGACCCAGCCGGCCGCCCGGCTGCGGCCGCGGCGCTCCGCCAGGCAGGAGCGGCTCTGACCACCACTCTAGCTCGGCTGAGATCGACCCCGGCCGGCCCAGACGGCCGCGCGCCGCCGTTCTGCAGGTGGGCAGACTACGAGCACACAGGTCGCCACTTTATGGAGTCGTTCGATCGCCGACCGCCGGTCGGCCGCAGACGTCGCTCCATTAGCGAATTGCCACTGGGGCGCATGACGACCGGCTAAGCGTTTGTAAATCTTCCCGGCACCGTACGCCGTCTTCATTTCCTGGCCAGACTCACCGCTGGAAAACGACCCAGCTGGAGCGGATCGTTAAAAGTCGGCTGTAACCCACTCCAGGTAGCCACATACGAATTACCAGCCTTTCACAAGGAGCGCTTCTTTTTATTGTGACTGCAGTTTCTTTTTTAGTAGCTACCACGTCGCCTTTCATACTCAGCCGCGCACTGTTGCACGCTAGCCCACAGACCCTCTGTCCCCCTCCCCAGACCCGGGAACACATGTTTACCGTCCGGTCCGCCGTCGCTGACCAGTCGGTAATTTGTTTCCCCACGACCGCGACCACCACAGCCGCTGCTGCCGTCTGCTGCGCTGCATAATTTGCCGGTAATTCAAATTGAAATCGATTCTGGGCCGGAAAAACACGAACAACTCCCCTGCGACAATTGTGGTGGTGGCGCGGCGGCGGAAAACATCCACAACGCCGTTGGCGGGGCGACGGTGGCGGAACGGTGAATAGCGACAGGGGAGATCGGTAGGTACCGCGCTACGCGACTCACTGAATTGCTGAGCACCCACAATAGCAAACTAAGCGTCCCGCGCACGCATTGTGCGTCGGAGCGCACACCGCACGGTGGCCGCACATCGGCAGGGTTTCACTCACGAAGCTAATAAGGGCCACAGTGAGGTCACTAACGAGGGCCCCTCTCAGACATTAGGCGCTCCATGTCGTCGACTTCATCGCTCATAATGTTGGCCGAGCACGACAGGGTCTAATTTGGCTCCGTCGGCCGCCGTCCCACCATTGTGACCCGGTCAAGGCGCCGGCGGACGGTCGAGGACGACTCAGCGGCTCAGAGGGCTGCGATACTAGACCACTGGGTGACAGGGAGGGGAACAATGTCCGCTGAATAACCCGCTGGGAAATGCCGACCGATCGTGAACGTAGTTTACCTCGATGCATCACCACAGGAAGAAGTTGTATACACTTCAAAACAGGTAATACTCGATCAAAGCTACCTTAATTTTAACGGCGTCACTCGAAAAGTTAAAAATACGACCCAAAGACGACACAGATTTCAAAGTAGGTACTGCTCAAGTCTACTTCCACTAGCCTGCGCCTCTCACTTCTTCCATACTCGATGATGAATTGGGGTTTTTGGGCGCCCGGATTACAGTGGTCATCGGCGGCCACCTCTTCCATACTCAATCGCGGTGATTCTGCTATAGCCCCTCCGAATCGATGTGACGCAGGTGCGGCGCTCCCGTCACGCCGTCACGGTGTAAGCCCGTCACGGCGTGACGGCGTCACAGCGGTCGTGGTCGTACAATAGCGACCAGGCACCGCCACACCGTGTCAGACACGCCACAGAACAACACAACGGCCCAGTAAGGGAGGCAGCGGGCGACAGCGCTACGACACCAGCGTGGGCCCGACAGAATTATTAAATACCACCGGAATAGACGATGTGATTTAAATGAAATTTATCTGAGACATGCAACGCTCGCATTGAGTTACAGGTGAATATCAAAGGTGCATTGTGCTCGCTTTGGAGCGTGGAAATTTGTTTGATGAAAGCGAGCATTCACAGTTCACACGTCACAAAGAGCCACTGCAGGGGCGACAAACAACAATGAGCACCCCCTCGATACGCTGGCAACCCTCCGAATAGCAGCGACACTGGCAGTAGGGACGTCCCCTGGTGACCCCATCCGTCGGTCTGCCTCCCCGATAGCGGGAGCATCTGGTGGCCATCTGTCACCCAGCCCCTGGCCACGACACTCTGACTGCGGCCCCGGCCCCGACCCCGGCGATCCGGTCCGGCCCGGTGGAGCTAACAGACCGGACGAGCCGCTCGACCGACCGGTCGGGCTGTGTATCTCCACAGATTATCTAGGTATATACTGCCCCGTCGAGTGGGGCAGTGCAGGACGAGCCTCCGCTCCCTCCACCAGGCGGTGGGCGGATCTGCACTGCTACCGCCAGACGAGCAAGAAATCCGACCCCGGGTCAGCAGAGTGCTGTCGGCGGGGTTACTGTCGGCCAACCGCAGACTGCAGGGGCAGCGGAGGTCATCCCAACTCCATTCCGACGGCTCCAGAGAGGGAGAGAGGGCCGAGGGTGTCGGTAACGAATCGTTCCCAGACCCACCGCGATGTGGCTAAACCTGGCGTTCGACCAGGTTTATCCCAGAACTACCCATACATCGCAGGGGCACCATCTGGGAGGATCCTAATACATCCGGGGAGTGCAAACCTCGGCGGTAGGAGTCAGGCGACCGCGGGTGGGCTCGGAAGTAAACACAGTCGCTCACTGTATGACTCAGACTAAATACCCAAACGGTACCGACCTCCGCCAGGCTGCCTCCTATCAACTCCGCCCACCCCGGCGGCCGGATCCGGGCCGAACAAAGGCGTCTGTTGGCATCATCGCGCCGCTCATCGTCTGTCAGTTCTCACATACGGTGGCGGGTTGTGCATACAAACAGAGCTCGGCTGGCGACAGAAGACACGCCCCCGTTCGCCGGCGGACGACCACACACCAGAGGCGGCACATCACCTACACCGCCCTGGTACCCCACTGAGCCGAACAGTCTAAACGGGCCGAAATGTACCCCTTGAGGCTTGAACGTACACAAACAGCCAGCCTAGGACATCCCCGCTTCATGGGAGCTGAACACGAGCATACATATAAAATTGAAACGCCAAACAGGAACCCATCACAAGCAGCCTACGCTTGAAGAAATACGTCACTTAGCAGTTTAGCACCTTGTGATGCCAGCTATGTACTGAACGGCTTTCGATCCAAATCTGATAACAACTCCACCTCACTTCCTCGTCCTCTTCACTGTCGACCACAACCTCAGAAGCATCCCTACTTGCCAACCAAAGCCATCCGCATCCACTCCCATTTTCCACCAACGCAGACCCCTATTACCCTCCCTAGCGCAACATCCCCCCTCTCTCTCCTATTTTCTCTCACCTGCTGAAGCACATCTAGTGTGACCGGGTAGACCATGTGCTCGATGATGACCCGCAGCACCGTGTTGGGTCCACCCTGGGTGTCACCGCCCGTCATAGACTGCGCAGCCTGCAGGGCCGCCTGAGCAGACGCGTTCTGTGCAGGCACACAGGGTTCAAAGTTAGAATGGGCTTATATGGCTTGAGAAAACAGGTTGGAAGGGTTGAAGAAAATCAGGCACATAGGACTCGCAGATTTGGGATGTCACAGGATAGTGCAGCCATCAAAATGCTTCACTACCGGTCCACAGGCGAAAGCAAGACTAATATCTGAACAATTCCTCGACGATCAATTCTAAAATGAAAGCGCAAAGTGCTGAAAGACGTTGAGCACATGAATATAGGTACACAAACACACAAGTTTCAACATTCAAAAGGCTTAGAGGTGATCACATTCGACACACAACGCGCACTTATCACACAATACACATTATACAATCAATAACCGTCCCATCAATCGACATTTGCCACAAAGGCGTTCGAACACCAACTCCATTAGCGTCCCACACCGCCCGCACACATTTCCACTCCGACAACAAAGGTCCACTAACACAAATCTACGACCGCGCCAAAGGCCACCACAAAGACATCCACTCCGGCCAAACCCGGCTCCGTCGAATCGCGGCCCCCACCACGACCGGCGCCGGGCGGCGGCCTAATCAAGTCACAGAGTCGGGGCGTCGCGGTGCCGCGCTAACCCACCACCGATAACCGGGTTAGGGAGCCGCGGCCGCGACACATGGTCGTCTGAGGCGTGCCCCGTCCACCCGGCCACCAGGGCTGATTCAATCCCGCTCAATCGCGGCCACCGCGCAGTGCTGGGCACGGCTGGGGTGGGCCGGTCACGGGGGCCAATCGCGGACACGAAAGGGTGAGGGTTGTGGATGCGGGAGAGCGTGAGCTTCTAAGGACGGGGTATTTGGCGACAAGTATATATGCATTCAGTTGTCAGATAACGTTCTTTAGGAGTGATTTGTGGTGTTTTAAGAGATAGATCATTAGCTGAGAACCAGGATATTCGATAACGCAAAGAAACAAGTTAAGAATAGCAACAGACAACACTGTACGATTATCATAGGACGATCATTATTCAGTTTATGGCACTGTCATGCAACCTATGTACCTCCCTTATCAGTACTCAGATCACTAGGCCTTCCCAGATCTCACCCTAAACGGGACTACCCGATATCTCTGGGTGCCTCCGCAGTCCTCTCACCTACCTTCCTCTCACCACCAGTTTCACCAGACTCCGACCCACTACTGTGCCACTACTACCGTCCATCTGCTACCTACTACCCACAGGCACCAGGTAGTGTGCCAGCATCGGCGGCGCCGCGTGGAATCCCGGCCAGCCGGGCAGTCCACTCACAGCATTCGAGTGCGTCTGGTCCGTCTTGAGCTCCTTGTGGTTGGAGAACTGGACGTAGACAGAGCGGCCGCGCAGCTGGGCGGTGCCGTTGGCGAAGTAGGCCACCATCTGAGTGGCGGCCACCTCGTCCGCCATCTCCAGGAACGCCTGGGGGCACACGGAGAGACTGGAGGTCAGACGAGGTCACGGTGGGGTCACGGACGGGTCATGTGGTGTCACGCGTAGCTGGGGTGGTCAGTGAGACATGCCATGGCACTGCGAGTTAGAATATCGGTAAAAGGCGCACAGGCAAAACACTTGTTTGAAAACAAAGAAGTGACTGAAATGACAGCATCGGAACATATCCTTTGTTGGTTCCCGGATGCCTTCGTGAAGCTTTCGAAATATGAATAAATCTCTACAAGGGAAATGTAATCATAAAACTTCATTCATGCACATTTCCTCCTTAGAAGACCAGTGCACACAATCTCGCCTTTCATCCGGGAGCTCTCTGTATCAGAACGGCACCATACTTCAGAGAGCAGCTTGTTTTTATGCCACCGTTGGCCGCCAATCTCCAGCGTCCCGGTTCATATTGACCGAGCGAGTCAGATTTCCCAGATGACCAGATGTGCCGTAACCCTACCAGCCGGCCCATCGAATCTGTTTTCCGATTTACCGGGATAGCGTCATCCACTGCACCGCCCGGCCCGCTCCTACTGTGCGGAATGTTGTCTACAAAGTGAATACCAAAATTGTAAGGGACTACAAGTGTTGACAGGACACGTTAGACAGAAGACATCAGGCAGCGCAGGACAGAATGGCTATACAAGACACCAAGACGCTAACACCAAAAGACAGCAGGAGGCAGCGGCAGTGGCGATAACGACAACAAACGAGGCGACCTCAATGGGTGCACAGCACAATCGGCAGACAGACGCCGCCCGCGCGCGCTATAGAGCGGCGTTCATCACTGGCACAGACAGCGACAGCCGCAGTCCAAACAACGCCGCGAAAGGTCGCTGCACAAGACGACCAGCGCAGCGTCAGTAGGCAGCACAGCACCGGCAGGGCACTACGATAATCAACAGGTCACTGCCGAGACATTTCAATAAAGTGGCGCAGAGCGCAGCGGAGGCCAACTCGAGACACCGGAGCGGCCCAAATGCGCCCGCCGGCCGGGAGACGAGCGTCGGCGTGTGAATGTTTCAGCAGGTCGCCGGCCGGCCGGGGAGCACGCCGCCGCTAAACGGCCGTTCCGAGACGGCAGGAGCGCGCTCGGCCTCAAACATTTAGCACCGCGGCCGAGCCCGCGACCACCAAACTGCCTGCCGTCCGGCCCAAACGAGCGGCGGCCAAGTTACGCGCCGCGCCAGTATTTGCCTTCCAATTCGAGCGCAGCCCGCCCTCAGCGCCAAGTTCGCTGACTGTCAACAATGCAGCTGTTTTACCGAGCAGCAAAAAAGTCGTAACCAGTCTCCGCGCTGCCAACGCAAATATGTGCTTTTCGCCGCAACAGACATGTGACTGGCACGTAAATCACCAATCTGAATTCCAAAACCATTGAATGAAATTATCCCTCAAGTCTCAGCATAACAAATAACATCGCGTCATACAGCTATACACACGTCATCGACACCCTACCACGCCCATCGTCGCCACCATCGGGGGCGCGAGCCGTCCCCCAGGTGAACATTCTTGCCCCCTGCACTGCTGGCGCCTCCCATCCTCCCTGTTTATCTCGGGCATAAACGATAGCTACTGCTCTGGCGTCACTGTTTATGGGATCAGATGCGCCACCCCCGGGCCGCCGAGCTCACAAAGGGATGCTGCAGAACGGGCGGGCTTCTCAGAGCTCCCCCACCTTCAGCGGCACGCCCGATCCCTGGGAGAGATAAAGACAGCAGCGGCCGCGGCGCCTATAGTCGCGCTGGTGGTAAACCAAGAGACTGGGTGAGTGATGGGAGGCGAGGTGTGGAATTGGATGGAGATCCACAGACCCCGCCGACCCATGTCATCACTTGTCATTCGGGTATCAACAGCAGACAGTGGTGCGATGGGAACAGTTTGGCGTGGGGAGGTCTTTCCATCTCCCACACCGCGATAGCCGAACAACAGCGGAAAACGACGTCCATGTCACAGCGTTCGCATTCGAACCGGCATGCAGAGTCCACCGCGGCATAGCTATCAGATCGACACAGCCCGAGAGTCGCCTGGCAGAATAGGGATATCCAGCGGCAGGGTCGGTCACCTGCCGCTCGCAAAGGAAGCCGTATTTTCTCCGTCAACACCTGTCTCCATCGCCTGAGGTCTTGCTCATTCTTTTCTCGACGGGTAAACAAGCTCATCGGGCTTCAGGTCCGTCCGGGGCGCCGTTGACAAATTGAAAAAGTTAACAAGCGGCACACACTAACCCACGGGAATTGGGCAATATTGCGGGCGGACATCAACCGCGGGCTCCGTCCAGTGTCCCTGTCAACGTTAGCGTTAGCGTCAGCGGCGGCGGCGGGGCCGGCCACGCCCTGGGCCCGCCGCCCGACACCGGCCGGTGACCATATGGTGGCGAGACACCCGGCCCCAGCCCGGTCCCGTCCACGGCGGCCGACGGATTCCCACGAAGACGGCTGATCTCGGGCCGGCGTCATCCCGTCTGATGGCTCTATGATGACGGTGCCGGCGCGGCGATGACGCTGATGGCGTGATGATGACGTGCTGATGAGGCCCGTCGCGCCGAGCGCGGCCATCCGTCGCCGCCAGCCGTCCGGAAATGGCGGCCCGGCCGCCTCAGCTCAGCCGGCTTCCCGGTTGTCATCACGACACCGCGCCTCCGGAACGAGCGGCCATCCAACTCTGTCTCCGCCTGAACCCCGTGTCCTGTTCCTCATTCTCTGAGGCTCTCGGCTCGCTCCATCTCCTTCCATCCACGGCTGTCTGGCGGCATGTAGCTGCTTATCCACAGTCTCACTTCATATTTCTCCACATTTTATCACCGCTCTTCGCTGCTCTTACACTCTCTCCACTCCCTGCTCTCTCCACTGCGCCAGACGGCCGGTATTTACCGTCTGTCCCGAAATACCTGCCGGCCACGGCCACAGGTGGCAGGCCGAGCGCCGGTACCGGCGGGCGGGCGCCGCGCCGGGTGGAGCGGGACGGGGGAGGGGGCGGGGGCGGCACGGCAGCAGACCGGCCGTCTCCGAGCCTCCGGCGTCCAGCGGTGACGGACCGGCAGCGGCGCCTGGCACCCCTCACCTGTCAAAACATCCGTCCGGCCGGCGGACGGCCTCCAGAAACGGCCCCGTCGGCGGCGCGAACGCGCTGTCGGGGTCGGCGAGTCCAGGAACTCGGCTCAAATCAGTCCCAGCTCGTCCGACCTCCCCTGCCCACCCCCAGGGCACGCCTCAAGGCAGTAAGTTTCGCGGCGCCGCGGCTGTCCAGCTGACATCCGACGCAGCCGCCGGCTTTGTCGCGCGACAGTTCCGACGCTCGCCCATCTCGCAGCTGAGCCCCGGGCAGCCCCAGGCGGCTGCTCGACACATCTCCGCAGCAACGCAGCCCGTCGTGGTGGCGGCAGCTGAAGAGAGTCCGCGTTTTGGAGGCACTTCGCCCCCTCCGTCGAGGGGGGCATCGACCCCACGGGCAGGGGGCCTCCACAGCTCATCGCCTCGGCCTGGTCGAAGACCCGACCTGCCGAGCCTGCGGCGAGGAGGAGGAGGACGTGGAGCACCTCCTGGCCGGGTGCCCTGCACACGTGGCGGCGAGGGCCGGCTTCTGGGGGCACTGTCCGACCCTGGCGGAAGTGCTCTCGGGGCCGGCCCAACACATCATCAGTTATCTGAAGAGAGTGGGGCGGGTGCAGGTCGCCACCGACCCGCCCCCGCCGGCCGCGCCTTAAGGCGCGGTCCGCGACCGCGCAGAAGAGAGAGAGCAACGCAGCCCGTCACAAAGTCGGCAACGGCTCAGCGATTAACGAGCACACGCTAACGACGCCGCTGGAAAGCGCGTCGTCGACCGACAACGATGAGCGGACACCGCCGAAAAATCGCCGAGTTATGGACCGGCTTATAATTGGGTTCGTTGCCGTGCCCCCGTCGACGATTCCACGACGAAAGCCTTACATCCTACGTCAGGTGACGCTCCCCGTCGTTTGCGACGAACTGGTGGGCCGCAAACAGCGCACCGTCGTCGTCAGGTAGGATCGATGGATCCGGCGCCGCCGCCGCGGGCTGCGGCAGTAATCAGACGGCAAATTAGCGCTCTCCGGTCCCCGCCAGCCCTCGTTTGTTCCAGACGTGATTCTGATAGGCCCTACCCAGCTCAGACCAATCCCTGGGTGATGTCGTTTTGATCCGGCGGCGCATATGAGACGGATTCGTGGGTACGCATGGCACGGCGCCATATATTTTGCTAAGTTTGCGTTACATTATCTCTCCGTCTCGGTGGGACGGATCTGTGGGCTTCCGTTCCTCGTCGGTGGCGGGCGGCCTGTGCCCGCCGGCGACGCTCGTATCTCAGCCGACTGAGCGCGGCAGATTTCCGACAGATTCCGGCCGATTCCGGGGTCGCCGCAGGCCGCTCCGGGCCGGCCCGGGATGGCTCCCGGAAGATCCAGCCTGATTTAGCACGGGACGCACCTGGACCTGGAGCGGTGGCTAGGCCCGACCAATCAGCTCGGGATTACGGGCGCCTGCCGCCATGGCCGCCGCAGCGGCAGCAGCAGCAGCCCGTTTCAATCAAGCGACGACCCGAGTGAATCGGTCTGGCGCACGGCTCGCGTCGGCTTTGTCGCCGCCGACGAGCCGGTTCCAGGAACACCCTGTGCAGCGCCGAGCCTCGTGGCGTCGAGAGTGACGTGACTGAGTCTGTCAGCACGTCAGCTAACGTCAGCCAACGTCACAGGACGTCAGCGGACGTCACTGCTAGCAGGGCTCCCGGGTCGGACTGCAGGGCGTAGGCCCCGCCAGCGTTTTACAAGCCTTTAACGAACGCGTCTCGGCGAACCGGCCAGCTGACACGTGATAGGAGAGCTAATTATTAGTTCCAGGAACGGCAAACTTTTGACTCCGCTGGATGGAGTTTTCATGCATTTATGCAGCTTGTTAAGATGCGACCTAAGGCGCGTTCAGCCAGCCGTTTAAATCCATTTCGACATAACTCGGCGACGCCTGTTCCACTGTGCGGTGGAGCGGAATCGACGAAGGTTGGCGATAGGGGAAAAACTCGCGTAAACCACTGCCGGATTAATGCTGGAGCGCAAATCCGGTCCGATGAATGGCTGGGCATAATCTGAACGGGTTCAGTTCTACTCCAACGGAGGCATGTCGGCCGATAAGAAACGAACCGTACGGAATCCAACGAATATTTAGTTCAACAATGTAGAGCAAGGATCGTGATTCATGAAACTGCTAAACCCACGGGCGCTGTAGCTCACTACAGTGACCTTTCCACGAGTCCCATCATAAATAGCACTGAGCCTGTCAGAGACGACCTTCCGCGTTGACAGAGGGAAGCCGTTTCACCTAGGCCGCGCCGGCCCTACCCCACCACACGTCCGTGCTATATGAGCAGCGGCCGGCCGCCCCCGCTGACAACTGTCTGACAGAGCGGGTCGTCCAAAAACACCGCACACCCGGGAATGTCACCCAGTGACAGTCGCGGCGGTGGCGGCGTCGATGACAGACGTGGATTGGTGACGGTTCATGGTGACAGGACAGTCGAGCCATCACGAAATGACAGCTCTCATGACAGGTCTATTGGAATATCCCACTGTGACGAACATACCGACAATTACCTCGAGCTGTAACCAACGGGCGTCCCGACGCTCAATCCATCTTCCTCCCGGCGTAGGACCGCTCTCAGAGAGGACCTACCAAATCCCCGGGTCTGAGCCGGGCGGGTGAAGAGGGTCCGACTGTGCCCGGATCAGACGCGTCCACAGTCGGCTCGAGGCCTAATCCGCCGGCCGAGAAATGAGAGGCCGCAGAGCTCAGAAAACCGCCGCCGGCGACGGGAAATGACGCGCCGCCGGCGTGAAATGACGCGCCGGCGGCGTTTTTGAACCTCCTCTGTTCGCCGGTCCGTCTCAGGACAGCGGACTTCAGAGTGGACTTCAGGGGGATTTGGAAAGATCGGGGTCCGTTCTGGTAGAATTGATTCGGCGCTACAGCTGTAAAACATAGAGCCGCTAACGTAAAAACTCGGGGAGATCGAACAAAGAAGAGTCCTACTCTTTCGCCAAACCCATCTACCCCATCCTCTTCCTTCTTTGTCATCTTCTGTGCTGCGCTCCGAGACCACGCTCAGCCCAATCCGTGACCCAACCGACCCTCCACCCTCAGCAGTCACGTCTCTGAACCTCTGTGGCCCGTCGGTCGTCGCACCCCACCGGGTCTTCCCGGCGGACGTGACGGCGACAGGCACGCCAGGTCAGGGGTCAGGGGTCAGGGGTCGGCCGGCCAGAGGTCACGGCCCGGAGCTGGGGTTGCCTCCCGCCGCTCAGATGGATGATAACCGCGACCTTTACCACCGCCCGCCGCCGCCGCCCGTGAGGCGAGCTGAATCGCAACTCATGCTCCTACGAACGGACGACGCTTTCGTCTCCAACCCACACATCCCATCGGAAGGGACAGGTAAAAACAGGCACAATTCCTGGTAAAACTCCCCTCTTCATCTCCTTTCCGGCGTCTCCATCCCATCTCCGCTCGGGTTCTCCCGTGTATGCGTCTCCAGCCGGGCAGCGCGGCTAACACCCACTCCATCCAGCTCAGACGGGCGAACAAAAACATTCCAGCGGGCCGGCGTCGGCGCAAACATCCCGCCGCCTCCCCGGGGAAGCGGCCCGGCTCCGCCCTCCTCCCAGGGCGGGGGCGGGGGTGGGGGCGGCCTCTTAGACGCCGGGCGGCCACTCAGTGTGCTGGCGGCGGCGGCGGCGGCGGCGGCGGCGGCGGCGGCGGCGGCGGCGGGCAGTACCTCATCACAAAGAGGAAAGCAGCCGAACCGTGACCATCCGGTCTCGGCGCGACAGATGGCTGAGGGATGGACTGCCCGTCGTCCGGCCGGCTGCCGGACGACGGGCAGAGGCGGTCGTGGTGGACACTGACACAGCCAGCAGACGGTGGAAAATACACGGACCGAGGGCAGCAGACCGGAAAGCGTGCTGGAATGTTACTGGACTGCAGCTTGGGTTCAGTAAACGGTGAGCGTGCCGAGCAGTGCTGAAGCTGCTGATGTTGAGAAACTGGAACCAGCGTCATACGATGCATGCGTTTCCTAAGCCTTTACAGAATTATTCCGATGCATGCGTTTCCCAAGCCTTTACAGAATTATTCAATAAAGCGGGCGCATCGGATGTAGACCAAACAGCGCGAGTCAACTTAACCACCTTAGCATCTTCCTAGGAGTTGTATTGGACGATGCCTTCATACTTCTATCCAATCGTTTTCTCGCCGTACCCAAATCTGCTGACCATGAACTTCACCACTTCGTTCCCACCTCCCACACCTTAACAAAAGTCACGTTTCCAGCTAACTCGCCACATTACATAACAACTCCCAGCCGAAGGCCACACGCCCTCCCCGTTCATGGCACAGTCAAACCGTGCCGTGCCGTGCCGTGTCGCCCCGCGGGCCGCAGCCGCTCCGCAGACGACCTTGCAGGCCCCACGGCGACGCCCGGGGTCCGGACAGACTCTCACCTGGTTTTTGCCCTTGAGGACGAGCACGTTGGTGACCTTGCCGAAGGGGATGCCGAGGTGGATGACCTCCGTCTCGCTGACATCGGTCGGGATGTTGCGGATGTGCACCACGCGGCTGGGCTTGCTGTCCAGCTTCACCTGGGGACACACAGGGGAGCGGGCGTGGTCAGTCAGAGGTCATAGACAGTGTGGAGCGAGTCGGCAGAAAAGTGCGCACATTTAGGTACACAATACACAGGCATCACCGAAATGCTTCAAACCGGAGCAACTGATTAGTTCACTCTAGCTCACGAGCGGCGCTAGACATAGGCAAAAATATAAGAAGTACAACGGTATTGAATGACAATGCTGAAAGCGAAAAAAAAAAACTTTTTAAATCAACCTTAATGACAGACACCCCGCATAGAGACATAGGTAAGCAAAAGCACAGAATAATGGCCGTCACTGGGGCTAATTTCGGACCTGAATCGTATCAGGTGTAATAAATCATTGTCAGAATATTCGTGCACACCTGATTTGGTAGCGCAAGGAACACCAGAAAGACCGGTTCATAATTATCGGCCTGCTGGAGCGTATATAATGTAATGATTGCAGAGACTGTCAATTCCGGCGCTAGAGTAGTCATTCGGATCGAACACGGTCAGCCAACTCAAGTTTCTCACGAGTTGGCCGTTTATTCTGAAATAAAGACAGCTGACGGCGAGGCCACACCGATATAAATCGCCCAGTTATGGGCTATGAACTACAGCGCTCCCAAATGGCACAAAGAATCGACAAAGTCAGAAGTTGTGCTCAAAATGGCCTCCCCGGTCCGCGAACAAAGTGAGACTGAGCCCGATGCCGGCCGGCGCAAAACCCACACGGCCGGCGATACGACAGAGTTCAACGGATCGAAATAGGCCCGGCAACAGACCGCACGCGCACAGGAATGCGCCCTTGAGTTGAGCTTGGCTGAGAAGCCGACCGTTCCTCCACAGCCGCACCGCCGCGGCGGTGTTGCCGAATACCAGATTAGCGCGAATTTAATCAAAAACCCGACTTTCAATAACCTGTTATTTATACCTATCAATGGGTAGGAAATTGTCCAAAGTTATCGGATACAACCTTATTTTTAAGCCGCTTTATCATTTGAGGACTTATATCCCTGCCGAAAGTAGACCCACGCTCCGGTTCCTGAAATCGGGCTATGGTACTGAGAAATATGTCCAGTTTTCAATGTAAATTTTACGGAAGCTTCGAGAAGATATATGAGAAAATAGCATATCACCGGATAGCACAATTCATGATGAAGCTGTTTCTGCTATCATGGTAGCTTTTCAATGAATGGTTTCTGAGTTTAATGAGTTAGAACAGGAGCCTTGCATGTGTATCGTTCTCACGATAGTATTTCATAAAGAAGTTGGAAAATGTCAAAATGGATAAAAATGGATATGACGAATAGGGCATGGCTGAACTCTCCGCACATTTCTGAACATAAGCGAGCAAGTTTCAGCTGCCACTTTTTGCCTATTTGCCGTCAATTCAGCTTTGAACATGTCTAGTCGGCCGCCCGGCGTGACCTGACCAAGGTCGGGGGCGGCGCGGCCGAACAGGCTCCAGCCTAATTATCTATCTCAAGCACACGGAATCGTGATTTCATGCACTCCTTGCAAGGTCCGATGCTTCACTTTTGCATTATTGGCCTTACGTGACGTCATTTATGACGTCACTAGGGTAATAAGAGTTTTTCGTCAATAACTCCCGATCAAATTGAGCTAGCGAGTCGGGAAAGCCACCAATGGACTCAGGAAGACCTGCCGAATCGAATGATATGCAACATGACCTCCTTCGACCAACTTCGTGATCTGGGGGGCTCTAACCTGACCTTGACCCGAGGTCAACACCTTAAGTTGACTTCAGCCGAACAAAAAGTATACCATTCGACGCACCTGAGCGAGGCGAACACGATGGTGCCAAAATTGCGGCTCTGCGGCATTTTTTCGCGAAGTTATTAATAAAAAACGAATCCGTGCCTTGGGCCACTTGATCCGACCTCAGAGGTCACAGGTTAACCAGAGACCTTAAAATTGGATACCAGTTGCTGCGTCTCGTAACGGCACACACGCTCGTTTTTTTCCCGCGAGGCTCTAGTTTCATCAGGGGCAAAACAGCGGCGGGGGTCGTACCCCCCCCCCTCCCCTCCTTCGGCCGGCGCGTATTTTGAAAACCAATAGGTCCGGCGAGGGGTAAATGTCAGTTTTGAAACCAGAGAACCATTTTCAGTGAATCCGAGCGGCGCTGGGATTAAATTCGCGCTAAACTGGTCTTCGGCCACACTGTGCGCCGGGGAGTCGGGAGGGGCCGCTCCCGGCAGTGGCACAGGGTCGTTTCTCCTCACCAACGTCTGTGGCCTGTCCAGATCAGCCCAATAAATCGCCGATGGACTAAGGGCAGCGCCATAAAGCCGATTCAACCAACCGCGGAAGTTATGAATTCATGTGAAGCAAAAAAGCGGACGAGACTTTTTACGGAAAGTCACCGAGCGAACTGACCCATAACTCATCAATAAAAAGCATTAAGTGCTGTGTTTTTCTTATGGGAGTTTGCATGACAGTAGGATCGTTGATTGTGTTTTATGAAGCGGACCAGTCGGAGCTTTGTCTGGAACGGCGATGGAGCTGATGACCCCACCGACAGGCCGTGACCCGTCACGACCCAACTTATCCGTCACGGCGCGGCTCGGCTGCCCCGCCGCGACTCGCGACTGAGCAAACGCCAGCCGAGTGCGGCCGGCGGGGGCGGGGGCGGGGGCGGGGGCGGCGCTGGAGTGAACCACGTCTCGCCGCCCAGACTCTCCTTGAACCTGGCTTGGCGTGGGCGACCAGCCAGCCGCCGCCGCCGCCGCCGTCACTCGGCGGCCGCCATGGCACCACGAGTCTCCTCACTCCGCTGCCGTCCAGTCGCCATCTCGCGGCCGGTTAGCATACCACCAGAGCGGACGGCGTGACGGGCGAGACAGAGCGGTCGTGTCGCGTCGAGCGGCATCGCCACCCACTCACTGTCACGGCCGAGCACCGGCGGATCGCCCGGACGGACCGCCAGACCCGGCCCGACCGGCGCATCTTCAGAGGCACTCCGGCAGATCGAGTGCGAGACAAGAGCCAACGATAACAGGCGCGACAATCGTCCGCGTCGGAAAATAATCTTACACGTGTCCAAAAACAATACGCTGTCGTGAATAGTACGCCATCAGCGATGGGAGTTGCAGACTGCTACCGATGTGACGGCTGACACACCGCGGCGGGCTGCGAGAGGACGGGCGAGGAGGGGGCGCTGACAGGACAGACGTTCGCACACAAGGTAGGCAGGTGGATGGACGTGATGTAGCTGCTGGCACCGTCAGTGTCAGTGTGAAGGTCAGGGGATGGTTGCCAAGGGTTTCCAGATTGCTGGCCAGGGTCGGGCGTAGGGTAATGGAGAGGGAGTGGCAATCCTGAACAATGCTACACAACTAGCCAGAAAGTGACCTTCACATAACACGCCGCCCTCCCATTCGCTACAGTTTTCTCACGACCGCCTCCACACAGCCATCCATTTCGCTCCCATGTCAGACCGTCTGGCCATTCTGGTGCCGCTGAGGCTCCCACCGCTGCGTCTCGCGCCCATCGCTGGTCAGCCATAACGTGGGCCTTCCCACGAGCGGCCGGCGCCGGGCCGCCTCGGGGCGAGTATGTCCTCGTCAGCCGGTGCAACAGCCTCCTATGGCGGGAGGGCGGCTCGTCTGCCGGGCGGCGCGTTGCTGGGCGGACCGCCGCCGCGCCGCCGCCTCGCAGCAGAGGTCCGCAGACAAAAACGAGGCGGCGGCCGGCGGCGCGGCCAAAAACGCACCGCACCGGCCAAGACACGCACGAACCACGACAAAAACGAGCGGCGGTTCGCCGGCACGCCGCCCAGCGCCGGAAGGATGGGCTCGGGCGCCGGTCCGCGGCGCCGCCCGGCCCACAGAACGGCCGTCACCGGCGGCCGCGCCCTCGCCGCCGGTCGAGGTCAAACTGCTCAGACGTTTGTGAACGCCGGAAACCGGACAAAAACTGAGAGCCGGCGCCGCCGAGGCTTTCATGGGCTGGCCGCGAGGCTGGCTGGGAGCCGGCTGGGCAGACGGCGAGGGCAGCACACCGCCATTGAAAGAGGTGATGAGTTTTCCACGGCCAACCGACTGCACGATTTATTTAACACTTTTTCGTGGTCGGTCGAGCCACGAATCCTGTTTGGAGGCCAGCGCTTTGAGGTCATCGTTTTATGATCTCATGCATCACGAAATTCTCGGAGCTGAGCATAATCGTGCATGCAAGGACAGCGACTAAACATGTGTAGGTACTCCACATAGCAAAGAAATGTGGTACGAGTCTTCCGACTCGTAGATCTACAAGTATTCTACAGTTTATTCCCAGTTCTAGAAACGACAAACAAAGGTTGATTTCTCAACCAATCATCTACTACCTACACGGCTTATAGTTGCGACCCCGATCAGACGACATTTCCAAGTGTCCGAAGACCCCATTCGTCCCGGGGCGGTAGCGAGCGAGCGCTCCAAATCCCTTGATCCCGCGTCTGAAGACAACAGAATCGACATCCGCCGGTATCCCAGGGGCGTCCGATCCGCGGCGACAGCATTAGAGGCGCTCGGAGCGGCAGCGGCGGATCTGCGCGTTTCACGGTCGGTTCGACGGGCCTTGAACCTGGCCGAGCCCGCCCTCTCCTCTGGCGGAGAGGAGAGATGAGGGACCGACCGACCGACCGACAGGCGGACCAGCCGGCTGATGGATCGCCTCGCCTGCCGGGGGCGCGCCGCCGCCGCCGCCGCCGCCGCCCACACGGGGTCAGCACAGGTGACCCGTGACCGTCCGCACTGACCTCCGGCTCCGGCTCGACAGGAACAATGGCCGCCGCGGCCGTCAAACTCCTGAAACTCCGCAGTTCCGGCCGGAGCGGCGAGCTGTCGACACGGGCGCCGGCGTCCGCGCCAGGAATAAACGCCCCAGCTCGGGAGTTTACCCCGGCTGCAAACATCCCTTCATACACACAGGACCGGCACAGGGACCGTGTGTGTACTGTATACTACCTGATGGCGCAGCCGGCGAGCGCCGGAAAAGGCACTG